GTGATCACTGCAAAGCTCTTTTCCATTCTGAGTTTGTTGGATGCATTTTGGACTGGAGTCATTGGTTGCACAACTTTCAATTACTGTTATATCTTCTTGGTGTTGCTCCTCCAAACATTATATAATGCCCTTCTTGGTCTGTCTTAATTGATTCTAAAGTGTACTTTGTCAGAAACATGTCAAATTATTATTGCAACTCCCGAGAGCATCTCATTCTCAGGCTACTGCTCATATGGAGGAGGGGAACACTACGCCGCCAGTGAAACAAATCCCTGTGGTTAGTGTTTGCTTGATATTCCCTCCATTCTTTTATTTTTAACCAGTTTTTGTCTTTGGGTCAAGGGTGTGTCTCTTGTGGGAAACATACTAATGGGATATGCTTTAAAATCAATCTATCCACTCTCTGCCTCTAGACTTGTGCATTTAATTAATTTATATTTAGTGTGATTGTCAATTGCTATTAATTCACTGCAGATTTACCCAATACAAGATGTTGTTTGAGTTCTTGACTGCTGTTTCTGTATTTTCAGTGACTCCCCCCTCAGAAGTGGACAGCCTATTATGTCTTTCTTGTCAGCTCTTAGGCTGAGAGCTCTAGTTATTTATATATAAGTAATATATATGTATATAAATAAATCTATAATATTGCTGGTAGGTTTCCTGGAGCCAGCTGTGACTCACAGCAACGTTATGCGTGACAGACGGAAACACTGCCTGGTCCTGACCACACTCAGTTGTTATGTTTGAGACCACTGTTGCAACTCTTTGTCAATCCATCTCATTGAGGGTTGTCTTCTTTTTAGTTCACACTTAACTTTACCAAGCATAATTTTCTCCATGGACTAGTCTCCTGATAGTATGTCAAAAGAACATGCAATCACCATTCTCACTTCTAAGCAGCATTCTGGCTGCCCTTTCCCCAAGACAGATTCGCTTGTTCTTCTAGCAGTTCATGGTGTTTCAATATTCTAAGCCAACACCGTAATTCAAATGCATGAATTAGTCTGTGCTCTGTCTTACTTATTGTCAGTTTTCACATGCATATGGCCAGCTTTCACATGAGGTGATTGAAAATATCATGACTTTGGTCCAAAAGAACAAAACCAAATTCTGACTTACAGTGACCCTGTAGGACAGTTTTGAACTGCCCCTGTGGGTTTCTGCGACAGTAACTCTTTCCTGGAATAGAAAGCCTCATCTTTTTCCCAAGGAGGGGCTGGTGGTTCCAAATGGCTGACCTTGAAGTTGCAGCACAGCATATGTAACCTGCTATGCCACTGAAGCTTGGGTCAGGGACCTCATATTTCTTCAAAATGACATCTTTACTCTTTAAATAGATCTTGTGTCGCAGATTTACCCAGTATAAGATGTTGTTTGAGTTCTTGACTGCTGTTTCTGTAAACATTTTCAGTCACTCCCCCCTTAGAAGCGGACAGCCTATTCTGTCTTCCTTGTCAGCTCTTAGTCCGAGAGCTCTACTGAAACCTGTTCGCCATGGTTTTGAAATACCAGTGGCATATCTTCCTGCATCGCAGCAACATGCAAGCCACCACAGTATGGCACACTGACAGACTCGCAGTAGATATATTGTTCTATACGTACAGCTACATGCCAGTATTTTTGGTGGTAATGGTTTCTTTTTTCTTGTAATTAACCACTGTATTCTTTTGGAGCCCCAAGTAAACCTGTTTTGGTTCAGTTGATTCCAGCTCGTGGAGACCCTATGTTTATTGAAGCAAACTGGTGCTTCATAACAGTTTCAATAGCTGCCTTTTGGGAAGTAGATCATTAAGTCTTTTTTTTCCCCTCCCAACATGTCTATGTGTGTATTTGAACCCCCAATCTTTTAATTAGCAGCTACATGCATCCTGTTTGCACCACCCCAGAATTCCTGTTGGGGTGGGTTGCTGTTACTGTAGTAACTCATTGTCTTTGAGTTGGCCCTAGATTCGTAGTATCCCCCAGCATTATAGAGCACAGTGCAACCTGGTCACGCAGCATCACCAGGATTAGCTATAGATTGAAGCAGTGTGGTCCATGGGGTTTTCACTGGTTGGTTTCAGAAAATTGATGGTCAAGTCTTGCTTCCTGGTAACTCTTAGTCTGTAAGCTACAGTGAAACCCGTTCAGCATCATGACAATATACAAGCCTTCAGTGACAGAAGAGCTAGCGGATTGGTTGGGGGAAACGCCTGGGGGATCCCCACCTTGCAAGGTGAAATAAGTTCGAATCCTACCACAGGCATTTACCTTTTGATCCATAGATTTCTCCTCCCCAACTCCCTAGGGGTAGAGTGGGTAACTACTTGGCTCTAGTCTAAACCTCCCAGCTGGTCTGTGGGAGAGAGCCGGCCATCTGCGTCTGTACAGACGTACAGTTAGGAAGCCCTGGAGACAGGTCTCCGCTGCCCTGCAGGACTCCAATGCGTCAGAGTGGACACAACAGCAGTCGTCCCTGTTTCAGAGTGTTCTCGACAAACCTCTGATCATCTCTAGTGTGTGTTCCTTTTCTCCTTCCATTTTCTTCATGTTTGCTGAAGGACATTGGGCCAAAGGCTACCTCGGGCATTTTTTGGATCTATTGTTGTGTTATTCTATCCTTTCTTGTTTGTTTGCTTCACTTTTCCTTTCCGCAGTGCTTCACAGTTTCATGGGGCTACAGCCAAGGAGTTGAGGAACATTTCAAGCCTGTGAGATAATAGCTTTACACACAATTCCTTAGAGAAACTGTGTAAGAGGCATTCACTTCATCTTAAAGCAAAATAACTAAATATAAGGACAAAAACAAAAGCTTGCTGGTTTGTGATGAGAATGAGATTAAAGTAAGGCAACATTACAGTTCTGTGCCGGGCCTCACAGTCAAGGTGCTAACCTTTGGGAATGAGCACGAGGCATTCACAGCAGGATTGCCCAGAAATCACTTTAAGTAGTTCTACAAAAACATTTAGAGAACATCTTTTGCCACCAAATTTCATAGACGAGAGCCCAGTGTCTGACACATAGTAGATGCTCAATTGCTATTTATTAAATTAATAAAATTGTCACGTTCTAACAGAATGCACCTCTTTAATTTAATTTAAGAGGATAAATGTTGAGATTCATTAAAGGCAATCATATTATCTGTTGCCTACAAAGGTAATATAAATGAGAGACTCAAAAGAGCTTTTGTAAATGCCTTGTTCTTGCCATGAATCTTTGGTAGATACTTTTTGGACACGTCAATAATTAATAAGTTAAGTTCCTCCACTCATTTTTGGCAAGGTCATTGTAATGACCTTGACCCTATTTAGTAACCTCTAGAGCCCAGATGACCTTCTAGGTCTTTTACATGGATTCCTCAAGAGAGTTTTATGAAGTCAGCTTTTTTTTACTAATAAAAAAACCAAGGCAGAGAAAAATTAGGAAACTTACTCAAGGTTATATGGAACCAAGATTTTGATCTAGTTAAAAATAAAACCCCATGTTTTAGCCTTATAGTTCCCACTTTGACAAACATCAAGAACATTTTCTGGCTTCCAGCACATTCTCTAGGAGGTTTGTGTGGAAAAGTTTTTAAGCCTCCAGTGCTGTTATATTATCCTTCCAGCTATTAAAACAAACTCACTGCCATTGGGCCGATTCTGACTTATAACAACCCTGCAGGACACGGTCGATTGTGCTTATTTGCTCTGTATCCATCCTTCTCCTGCTCAGTGGCTGGTGCTTTCTACCTGCTAATCTTGCTGTTAGCAGCCACAGGTGCAGCCCACTACACCACCAGGGCTCCCTCCTCTCCAGGATACTCAGCCTATATTTATTGAACATGTACTATGAACTGGTGACCCAGGGATTAAATCACTTGGCAGCTATATGAAAAGTTGGAGTTTGAACCCACCACCCTGGGAGAAAGATGTGGCGGTCTGCTTCTGAAAAGACTAGCACTGTGGTGCCACAGCGGGAGACTTCTATGCTGTCCTAGGGGCACTCTGAATCCACATGGACTTGATCTCAAGGAGTTTGGTTTGGTTTTCATTACTGTGAGCACAGCATGGTCAGGTACCCTGGATAAGATGATTAAGAAGACTGGGTGCCTCCTCTCTTGAAATGTACAATTTTGTGTTGGGGGACAATGGGCAATATAACTGTGGGGAAGTAGAGGGGCCCATAAAAGGGCCAGCTATCCAAGAAATTCTAGGAGTCTCCACCAGGTAGTAGCATCTCATTCTCAGTATATTGATCAGCTCGAGGATGGGAACACTACGAATCCAGTGAAACACGTCTCCTGGGTCCCTAACTCCTAAAACAGGGTCAGCATGCAATAAATACTCGTTGAATTCATGGTGCTAGTACCTGAAAAAATTGCAGAGGTGCTGTGGCTACTACTTGTTCATTTTCAAATCTATGTTGTTGTTGTTGTTATCTTTTCCTAAATACATGTTACTGTTTGGCCATGAAAAAAAAAATCAACTTTTCCTAACTGATGCCTTAATTCTGATCAATCCCAGAGGACCACAGTGGGTCAATCTTCTTACCATAGAGTTTTGAACAAGCTTTGACAATTTTAGCCATAAAATCTTATAATGGGCTTACGTACAAAGAACTGAATTAAGGGAATACATTGCTTGTCCTTTTTATTAAATTAAAGTTCAATGGTGCGCTTTCTAGCATTTTCAAATGTCACTCCTCATTAGCACAAAGACTGATATAGACAAACCCATCTCAAAGGCAGCAGAGGTTTTTTGTGTACATGGTTAGGGTTTAGTGTCAGTATTTTGGCGAGGAGGCTCTCAAGAACTGAAATCGGGGCTTTAGATTTAAGCAAAGCACTGACATAAGTGATGACTTTGGATGTTTTAAATAAAAAATGGTTAATACTTATTTTCTGTTTTTTGAAAATGGAGTAGTTATTTTTGTACCTTTCTTTTGAATATGGATTAATATGTGAAGTCTTGCTTTGTAGTTAAATTTGTTGAAATTCATTAGAGCCAAGCCCATAACACTTGCTTCCTTGTACAACTCACCTTGCTAAAGCAAAAGCATCATCAATCATGCTTGCACGATCAGCAGAAGAAAAGTTCTGAAAGGCGAAAAAGAAGAAGATAAGAAGCGTGTTGAAAACGTTCATAATTGGTAAACTAAAGATAGAGCAATTCACAGTCATTGTTAACGCTCACCTTGTGGTCAATGGAGAGATTATAAGCTATCTGGTCCCACGTTGATTTTTCATAATTTACACGATAAAACCCAATATGATCTGGATTTATTTCGAGGAAAGCATTTCCACTAGGATTTGAGGGGTTCAAAATGATTCCTGTGGTAGTAAATAAACACTAATGAGAAACATATTGGAATATACTGTAAACACAGAGAAACTAGACCCAGAGAGTTAAGAAAGAACAGGAAATGTTGGCTCAAAGTCAAGCTTGATCTCAATCCAAGGCCCTAGAAGCCTAATTCTTATTTAGTTGCCTGACTTTACACTATCACTAGAATGCATGAGCTGAAAAAGAAATAAGTAATGTAAATAAGTATCCTGTAATTTGTGACTTAAACTTCTTACTGGCAGAAGCTTGCAAGGGGGAAACAATTCTTGCACTTGTTAATCCTTCCATAAAAGAAAACAATGCCTGAAGACACAAGTCATGCCTGATGGGGGCAGTCTCTATTCTCCTAATTATAATGGATTAACTACACAAAGACTACTCACTGGGGCAGCCTGGAGGAGTAAAATGTCAACATCTAAAAGGATACTTTGCGTATTAAATCAACATTCAAGTTGGTGGAAACGGCTACTGCTAAGCCAAACAGTGATTTAAGAATCCGTAATGCTTTTAAAACGTCAGAAGATCTGCCATTGACCTGAAGTCCAAAAAATCAACATTCTGGATTTTGGGATCTATTTTAGACTTGCTCTTTCAATATTATTTAGCTTGTAAGTCGTTTACTTCCTCATTTAAACAGAAAGCATCAATGGGGTGACTACAGTAACTTTCCCGCCAGATAGTATCCAGTATTTGGACAGGGCGGCTGATATCTTGATTTGAGAAGTCCAGCGCTGAAGCATCTGAGACGTGTGTTCTAGGTACAGTCTGACATGGGGAGCATTTGTTGTTGTTAGTTTATTATTTCTGCAATTACTTTGCAATCCAGGTGCTCGTTTGTTTGCCTGGACAATATGACATTGAAATCGTGGCATGGGAATTCTCAGTGTTTGTGAAAAAGTTCAATTCATTTCATGTAGTAAACTGTAGGGTGTGCTTTGGAAAAGAGGGGTTGTTAGGTGCCAGGGAGTTGGTTCTGACCCATGGCGACCCCATACACAACAGATGGAAACACTGCTCAGCCCTGTGAAGGGGAGGTGAGGCTAGAAATAGAGCTTCAATGTGAAAACCCTTGCTCTTTTAAAGAATCCATCTTCTAAGAGGTGGGAAGATATGAAAAATGTCCACACAGAGACAAATATGTTCCAGTATGTTTTCTTGAAAGATAACTTTGATAGGCACAGTGGAGAGAGGCCGATGGTGGGGTCCTGTGGTAGAATTTTTCTCTTCCAAACAAGGTGGTGTGGTTCCTAGCCAACATACTTCAAGAGTAGCCATCAGTGAAGGTTTCCATGTGGCTTTAATACTCAACAAGTTTCAGCAGAACATCCAGACTAAGGTGGTGTAGGAAGAAAGACCTGGCAATCCACTTCTGCAAATCAGCCAATGAAAACCCTACGACTCACACAGTCTGATGCTCAACTTATCACAGACTAGACAGCACTTCCTTTTGCTGGGGAATCAGGGTCAATTCAAGGGATGCTAACAATGATGTCATCTAGATTGGAAGGCGATTCTAAGGTAAAGAGACTAAATAATATTTCCCCGCTGCCGTGGAAAGAGAGGATAAGGGATTACACAAAAGTGGAGATGATGAATTGAGAAAGGAAGTGATGATGTTTTTCAGAGATCCCTCACAAGGCAAAAGTAAAATCAACACAGCGTGTTCTCTGACTTGATGTGAAAAGTTAGCAAAGGGAGGAGAGCTTGTACAACTGAGTGAATAATGGCATTGCCAGTAGAGAACAGAAGAAAAACAGAAGAAGATGAGTAAGTTTGGGAGGAAAGATGACTTAAATTTTGGAAGGGTTTGCAAAGTCTGGAAGATATCCAGGGTACAGTAGTTTTCATAATGAATGGATAAGCTCTTCAACAAGACAATAGGTGTCTTTAGAAACTTTCAGAGTAGGTACTTGACAAATTATAAACCTTTACCTCACTCGTGGAGTATTTATCTTTCTTTGTCATTCTCCCATGGACAAGTTGTTGAAAGAAAGCTAATCTTTTGGCAGCCATACACTTTGAATGTTTGCATCAGGAGGAGTGTCTCTTGCAAAGCATAAAGCCATATGTTTCAGATGAAAGAGCACGGACTTCAGAGTCCAACAGACAATGGATAAAATCCTTATTCTCTAACTTACTAGCTGTGTGACCTTGTCCAAATCACTTGACCTCTCTGTATCCCCGTTCACCATAAGAAAAAGGGGATACAAATCCTTCACCAGGCTATTGTGACAATTATATATGACAACAGAGTTATGTGTTCAACAGATGGTAGCTATCTACATTATTATGAAAGTAGATATGTCGCCATTACTATAAATAGCCAACCAAATATAAATAACATTGAGATGTTCCCGGCAATCAATCTACATACTGTAGTAGTTTAGCGTACTGTGTATGTAACTAGTTAAGCCTGCCTAGAGTGACTGTGATTTTTCGCTTTATAGATGAGGAAGCTGAGATCCAGGAAGCCAGTAGTGCAGGATTTTCCAAGTTCACGTAACATTCAGAACAGTTGTCAACAGCAAAACACCCACGGGATGTTTAGTTATGTAATGAAGCAAGTGGGACTGAAACAGGGAGGCCTGTTCCAGGTGCCCTAGGCAAGTTTGAGTCTCCTTCCGCTTCTCGCATTTGCCATCCTTTCCCTCCCTGGTTCTAACAGAAGCATGCATGCTTTGGGCAGCATTTGAAAAATGCACACATCTACACAGAGGATGGTGAAGACTATAAGACTACCCGCCACGGTTACCCTTAGTCCTCATCTTCTATGCGCAGCTGTGTCTGTGTGTTTCTATACACAGACACAAACACGTACATATGCAACACATGTAATGGGATTCTACTGCTTAGGAATAGTGACTTTTTTCCCATCGGAAAGGATATTATAAACACACTAAAATTACGTTATATGTACATGTGGAAATATAAGTTTCAAGACCAAATAATTATCACTCGACTTATAAGTTGGTTTGCTCTGCTTCCCACTCATTCAAAGCACACCACCCAACCCACTGCCACTGTAAAGATCCCAGTCTCTGATGACCCTTTCGACCAGTGGTTCTCGACCTTCCTAATGCCATGACACTTTAATACAGTTCCTCATGTTGCAGTGACCCCCAACCAATACTTTTGTTGCTACTTCATAACTGTAATTTTGCTACTGTTATGAAACATCATGTAAATATCTGATATGCAGGATGTATTTTAATTGTTACAAATTGAACATAAAGCATAGTGGTTGATCACAAAAATAATATGTAATTATTATTGTGAAATATTTACTTCTAATTACAAATAAATGAAATTTTGTTTTGAAGTATGGTGTAGCATGGGTAATAGTCTTCCCGTGGGGTACTCATATGTGTATGTATCTGCATGTGGGCAGACCTGCCTGGAGATGGAGGAGCGGTGTCTCGGTTCCTAAGAACATCGGAAATATGTGTTTCTGATGGTCTTAGGTGACTCCTGTGAAAAGGTCATTCAACCCCAAAGAGATTGCGACCCACAGGTTGAGAACTGCTGCTTTAGAAGGTTTCCGAGGTTGTAAATCTTTATGGGAGCAGAAAAATCTCATCTTTTTTTCTGTGGAACAGTTGGTGGGTTTGAACCACTGACCTTGCAGTTAGCAGCCCACCTTACCTGATGGCACCACCAGGATTACTTAATTCTAAGCATAGAGGTATTAAATGAACAATTTCTCTGTAAGGGCTCTTCCTTGGAAATGCCTATTTTTAATTCTATTATTTGTCTAAATGATAGAGAAAGCTGGTAATTTATCCGATCAAAATTTCACTTAGAATTAAATAAATTTAATTAATTAAAACTTTTTTAGCCTAGATAGATTTTAGTAGCTGAGGGTATTTCATACCTCTTTAGTATTATTGTACTGCATAAATAATTATAGCAAATTGAAGTCAACTATACTGCTAGTGAGGGAGACAGACAAGGTTTTCCACTCATTTAGAATTAGTCTTGGAAACCCACAGAGGCAGTTCTGCCCTGTTCTATAAGGTCACTATGAGTTGGAACTGACCCAATGGCAGGAGCTTGAGACACTGCTTGTGATAGGCTGAGATTCCTAGAGAAATACGTTTTCCTTTGGTGATAAAATCCTTTGTTGCAGTGCTCCTTTAAGCAAATCCAGTGCAAAATGGCAGCAGTAATAGTTCATTAAATGTTATACTATACTTAATGGTAAAGCAGACAAAAATATACAGTTAGCATTAACTCAATGGCAGCAAGGTTAGTTAACAGGATTGTATGGGTCAAGGGGGAAAAAAAAATGCAACTTTCAAGTACTCCCTCAACACAAGAACACTTTGTTCTAACAATCCGGCATTCTGTGATGCTCACCTACCCACCATGATCACTGAAGACAAAATGGGTGCATAAGTAAATGTGGTGAAGAAAGCTGATGGTGCCTGGCTATCAAAAGATAAAGCATCTGGGGTCTTAAAGGCTTGAAGATAAACAAGCAACCATCTAGTTAAGAAGCAACAAAGCCCACATGGAAGAAGCACACCAGCTTGTGTGATCAAGAGGTGTTGATGCGATCAGGTACCAGGCATCTAAGACCCAGAACAAAATCATACCCAAGGTGAATGTGTGTGTGTGTTGGGGGAGGGCATCCAGTGGAGACCCAGTGCCCATCTGTAGACAATTGGACATCCCCTACAGAGAGGTCACAGGGAAGTGATGAGCCAGTCAGGGTGCAGTATAGCACCGATGAAACACACAACTTTCCTCTAGTTATTTGGTGCTTCCTTCACCCCACTATCATGACCTCAATTCTACCTTAGAAGTCAGATTAAACCAGAACATGAACACTGCTACAGGGAATCCAGGCTAGATAAAGCCCCCAGGACTAACAGTGAGAGTACAGATACCAGGAGGATTAGGGGAGGGTGGGGGGAGAAAGGAGGAATTGATCACAAGGATCAACCTATAACCCATCTAAGGGGGACAAACAATGGAAAAGTGGGTG